TGATTTCAGCAGGGGTCGTGGGCCCGGGCCTTGTGGTTCTGGAGAATATTTTTCAGCCCCCTCACTAGGGGATATCAGGATGAGACTGTTTCCTGTATTATTGGCAGCTGTCACTGCCCTGTTTTTGATGTGATATCTTGCTACAGGGTAACAACAAGAAGAGAGCCCCTCTTTCTCACTTAAGCCTACTCAGTCAGAAATCTCAGTGGGCTGTTGCCAAAGACAGAGATCAGGAGAGGTTGCACACCTTGAAGGATCCGTCTTCACATTACGACACAGGTCTGTGTCTGATCTACTGACTGCCAACTCTCTGCTCAGTGAAGTGCAAGTATTATGTAATTAGAGAGTGCAAAAGGTGATTTGAAAATGGCATAGCTAGAAAGGTTAAAATAAATCGGTGGGAAAGAAGTACGGAGATGGCACTGGAGCAGCGCTGAACAGGCTTCCGGAGGCTTCGCGTCCTGCCTGTAATATGCTGGGCTGGAGAGGTCACACTAGCACTCAGGTGTCAACGTAGAGAACACATTTATGAAAGTGCGAGCCTCCTTACTTTGGGAAAAGTATCTGTTACTTTTCTCGTAGCCCCTGTGGAATCGGCTGAGTCTGCGTGGACGTGCTGGGGTTACAGCTGATAGCTCGGTGTTTAGCTCTGGAGTAATTGTGGCCCACACCGCTGAGTTCAGGTCCCTATTTCTTTTCTTCCTCTCTCTTTCCTCCTGGTACTGGGGATCAGACTCAGGAACTTGTGGTTGCCAGGCAGGCACTTATGCCACTGAGCTATCTCCCCAGCCCTCGAATCTCTTATTTCTTTTTTGTGAGTATTGTACTATTGTGTTATGGGCGAGCTGGCACTTTTTCCATGCGCTAAAATGTAATTTCATTCACGACATAGGTACATTCATATGAGAAGAAAGCTTTTCTTTCTGACACTGTCTGACAATTTCCCAGGAGCTCGGAGCTATAAATCATTTTAATTCCTAGTTTGTAACACATGCTTTTTTTCTTAAAATTTCTAGAAGGAAGTCATCTGAAAGCCTCCCTATGACAGGGTGTTCTAAAAAAATCACTTTGTGATTTGTGTATGTGTGTGTGTTCACACACGTATGTGTGGGTTCTCATCCGGCACCTCCCACATGCTGAGCAAGCGTTCCATTAATCATATCTCTTGATAAGCTTGCTGCTTGGTTAAACATGTCCTGCTAGGAAGCCTGAGAGTTTCCTCTTCCTGTAATCAGACAACAGAATCTATCTAGTAGAGTCAACCTCCAACTAATGCATGCTGGAATTCTTACTGTGTTCCAGATAAACCTGAGTGAATAGGTTAGAGTGTGTTTCGTTGTTTTCCTGGTGGCCTGACTTAATCCGAGCTCTGCAGATGCACTCCAGCTAAGGAAAAGTTTCACCGAGTTGTTGCCCTCATTCTTCACTTTTCACTTTAGCATTTTCAAAGTTACTGCTAAGTACCTTCTTATTTCCTACTATCGAATCTATAGCGCTACACGTTTATTCTTTGTTATTATTATCCAAAAATGATGTCCACTCAGAGTTCACAATTCCTCACTTCACAAATGAAATACAGGGGACTTCTGGGTTAGCTTAGTTGTTTAAAGTGCATGCTTGGGCAAACTCAGGTGCAGGGAACTCTGGTTCGATCCCCAGCTCCACAAGCCATACTTAGGCAGCCTGAGCTAGGAAAAAAAAAAAATCCTTCTCCAATTAAACAAATGAACAAAAACCAAACGAATGAAAATACAGTATGGGGCCTGGGGAGATAGCTTGGCAGCATAAGCTCTGCCTGGCAGACGCAAGGTCCTGAGCTCGATCCCTGGTGCTGCATAACACGCCATTCCGGGCACATCGTGTCGCCCCATTCAGGGTGTGGTGGTACATGCCTGCAATTCCAGCACCAGGGGGGCTCAGAAAGGAGGGTCACTATGAGTCTGAACTGCATAGTGAGACCCTATACTAAAAAAAAAAAAAGGAAAAAAAGAAAGAAAAACAGAATACAAAACGGATCTAGCAACATTGTGCATAATAGTGTCCAAGCGTTTTTCTACTTGTTCACCAATAACTTACTATGTGTTAACTTACAATAACTTACTATGTATTAAAACTGGCGTATTCTCAACCATTCTGAGAGGAAGGACTTGTTGGAAAGCATCAGCAAAAAAATTGTAACTTTTTGTAAAATTGTAACTAATTGTAAAAATCACAAATACATAAAGTCCAAGAAACCATCAAAAGGTGGATTTGTTATTTTTTTTAATATTGGATTTCCTTTGGAATAATTTTTTTCATTTTAATTTGATGATTGTTAATTTGTTATGGTACTACATGTATGTGTTGATATGTATGCATATAATACATGTACATGTACATGTATATGAAGAATAAAGTTAAGATTTATTTATTTTGTGGAACCAGGGATTGAACTCAGACCCTTGAGCTTGCCAGGCAAGCGCTTATTCTACTGAGCTGTCTCCCCAGCCCTAAAGTTAAAATTTAGAAAAAAAAAAAAATCTAAATCACTTGGTGTGACTTTGGGAAGGTTATGTGGTAGAATGACAATTATGGTACAACTAGGATAGAAGAGATTTTATGGAACATAGAAACAGATGTCCCTTTAGCACTGTAAGTATTTCAGGATTTTTAAGCATTCCCAGACTGGGCCTGGCCAGATAGCTCAGTGGACTAAAGCACAGTTCAGTCCCACGTGCCATGCGGGCCCTTTCCCAGGGCGCGCTGAGATGGGGATTGAGACTGGGCGTGGTGGCATGCGTCTGTAATTCCAGTGCTTGGGAGGCTGAAAATGGGAGGATCACTCTGAGTCCAATCTGTATAGTAACACATTGTAGACCCTGTACTAAATACATAAAGCAGACAAACAAAAAATATTCCAAAACTATGTGCTTCAAGATACCACAAATTCCCTTGCCACTTTTAAAACAATGACCCCCTCAACCTTTCAGTTGTCTTGAGAAAGTTAAATTCTTGAGTTATTGCGACTTCCTTTGGGGCTCTAGTTACCTGAATGAAATTGCTCTCCAGCATGGGCGGAGTCACAAAAGGGCTGTACTCGCCTTCCTCCAGCATGTTCTTAAGATGTCCTGGGCTGGGCTCATCGACTGACTTTCTTCTGTTCTTCTTCATTGTGCTTAGACAAAAACATCAGGAAATGGAATGAGCACAGAGAGAATATCATAATGAAGTTTCTTTGCTGATTCACCAATTCTGCAAATTTTTTTTTTTTTTTTTTTTTTCAGAACTGTGGATTGAACTCAGGTCCTTGTGCTTGCCAGGCAAGCACTTATGCTACTGAGCCATCTCCCTGGCCCAAATTCTGCAAATTTTATGAGCACCTAGATACAGCGAAACAGAACGAGTAAGATCCGGGTCCTCATCCAGCTTTCACTCGAGAGGTGACAGATGGTAAGGAAGGGAAAGTTGAATGACAGGGACTACAGCGAGACTGTAAAACAGATAGTTGGTGTAAAAAGTGAAGGGGCTACGTGGCCAGCACACTAGCAGGGGGCATTAGGGTGTTTCAGAAGGGCCTTACTAGCACACTCCCCAATATATATGGTCCCCTTCTCTGAACTATTACTTTTACATTCCTAATAAATGGTACACCGTGCTACCCTAGACAATATGCAGGTTTCCCAAATCCTTTTTATGTAAGTAGGATGTCAAGACTGTACTAAACCTCTTTCACATTTTTTCCTTCACTCTTGGTTGGAAGGCAGACAGTTGACAGCCATGTAATCAGCAACAGCTCATCCCCACTGTCTAGATCTCTTCCTCTCCTCTCTTTCTCACTCTGAAAACTACTTCAATAGACAATGACCCTGAGTCATTGAATTTCACCTTTCATCTGCCAAAAATGTTAATTCTACGAAGTAAACAAGACTGCAGTAAATATAAACATTGGCCTTCCTGATTAAATAGATATTTCTCAAAAAAAAAAAAAAAGATTTACACATGGCCAATAGATATGTGAAAAATACAGATATCACTAATCATTAGGGATTGCAGATCAACTACATTGACATGTTTCTTCACAGACACAAGGTTGGGCACTACTAAAAACAAAGCCATAACACAAAGCCAGGCATGGTAGAATGCATGCCTGTAGGCTTAGCATTGGGGTGTTCAAAACTAGCTTGAACTACATAGTGGCACTATGTCTCAAAACAAAGACAAAAACAAACCAGGGCTGGAGATGTAGGTTAGGGGTAGAGCACTTGCCTAGCATGCACAAAGCCCTAGGTTTAACCCACAGTACTGCAAAACAAGCCGGTCCCCGCAGCCCAATAACCAAAACCCGAAAATAACAAGTGTTGATAGGGATATGGGGAAATTTAAAATGTTCGTGTGTGGTTGGTTGGGATGGATAATGGTATAGCAGGCATGGAAACAGTGGTGGCTTCTCATATGCTTAAATACAGAAATGGAGCGTGGCCCAGCAATCTCACTGCTGCACATAAATGCAAAGAATTGAAAACAGAGCCTTTAAGAGATATTCGTACTCCCACGTCTGTAGAGGTATTAGTCGTAACACCTAAAATGTAGAAACAGTGCTGATAAACAAAATATGATAGATACGGACAATGGAATATTAGCTTCAGAGAGGAGAGAAGCTCTGATGCATACTACAGTACGGAGAAGGGCACTCTGCTAAGTGAAACAAGCCAGTCACAAAAGACAAGTGTTCCACAGCAGAGCTGCCTGGAGCAGTGAAATCACGGAGCCGAGTAGGATGCTGGTTGCCAGGGGCTCTGGGGGTCGGGAGAGTAGGGAGTTACTGTTCAATGAGTGCTGAGTTTCAGTTTTACAAGATGAAAAATGTTCTGGAGGGGGATGGTGGTGATGGGTGCATTTAGTATGAACGTATGAATGTATTTAGTATTGCAGAACTATGCACTTAAAAAATCATGATGGTAGCTTTTATGTGTATTTTATAATAACAACAACAACAACAACAACAACAACAATAATAATAATAAAAACATTTCCCAACTTTTTCACAAAGTGCACACCAGTTGAAGGGTACCTCACAGGAACCAGGAGGTTAAGTTTATGTGTGTATGTGCATGGGTGTACATGTGCACACACACACACATGCACACACGCACACTTACACACACTCAGAGTCTCTCTTCAGTCCTTTCACTGGGACTCCTTTTTGTTGTCAGCCCAAACTAGAGGGTGAGCTGTGAGCACATCTCGTTTGGGCCCAGCTGGGTCTGCGAGGACATGTTACCTGATGGGTATGTGTGGATGCAGGGCGTGGGCACCGCCAGTCGTGGGAAGCCTGCTCCAGGCACGGCTATACCCCTCACCTTCTAGTGATAGCCGCTCTGTGGGTCCCTTACTATGTCTTGTGTTTGAAAAGAGAGGAAGGGCCAGGGAGATAGTTCAGTGGAATAAGTGCTTGCCTGGCAAGCGCAGGGTCCTGAGTTCAATCCCCAGTATGGGGGGGGGGGGAAGAAAAGAGGGGAAGTAAAATGTCTCAAGAAGAGCAAGAAAGCAAAAAGATTGAAATAGTCTATAGAAGCTAAAATGAGACCCACTCCAAAAAAAAAAAAAAAACATTCAAAGGGGGAAAAAGGTGAATCTAATAAGCAACACCGTTTGTGACTCATACCCAGCACTGTTCTTTTTGCGCTTGTTCAGAGGCGGGCAATAACAGTTGTACATGGACTCTCCCATTCAGTCTGGAAAACACTAAAGGACACTCTTTATACCCTGCACAGAGGGAGCGTGGGGAGGGGAAGGAGGAACCCTCACCCCACACAGCTCAGCATCCAAGCGAGGCCCAGCAGCCTGGATGCCTACCCGGTGTCCCTCTGGGCAGAGTGTCCCAGCAGTTCATGTCTCTCCAGATAGCCAGGAAAGCTAATCGCTGTCAATAGCAGCTTTGCACATTGAGTGTCCAAAGAGAGAGGAGCAAAACGGCTTGGAAAGTGAAGTAAGAAAGAGAAGAAGAGAGGGAGGGAGGCAGAGCCAGGGACAGGAGCGGGTGTGTGCACGGACTCTTTCACAGCCCATCACCTCTCACCTCCAGCTGGGGCCCAGCCGCTCTTCTGCGTTGGAGACAAGGTTTGTAACTCACTCCAATTTGGGCTTCCTCCTTTTCATGATGAAGTCTGCATGAAAGAAACAAAAATCGAAAACGAAGCATTACACAGAGGAAGCTCATTGCAATTCTGCACTCATGCCTACTTTTCCTAATAATATTAGGGAGGCAGAGATGATCAGCCAGAGGGTTCTGCTGTCCACATCTGGACCCAGCCATGGCTGGTGATCATGGTCATGGTACGTGGAACCAGAGTCCTTGCTGGTCATTGGCCTAAAACCACCAGAGGGTGAAACCCTAGGCTTCTCCGACACAGAAGGCGTGTGGTGATGTACAAAGGGAGTAATCCAGGGGGCCCCTGAGCTGTGTGTAAATGCTGTTTAAAATGTGTTCAGTGGTTACCTGATGCTGACACCTATTAAGGCTGAGAAAGTCTCAGCCCACTAGCAGAACACATATCAGGGCCTCAAAGAAGGTGTTAAAGTATTCCCTTAAGAAATGTACGGGGGAGCCAGGGAGATGGCTCAGTAGAACAAGTGCTTGCCTGGCAAGCACAAGGGCCTGAGTTCAATCCCTGGTTCCGCCAAAAAAAAAAAGAGAAAAAAAAAAAAAAAAAAAAAAAAAAAAGAAGGAAAAAAAGAAATGTACAGGGGATGGTGGTGTAGGGAATATTGTGTGGGAAAATTCTAAGTCATAAGCATTGCATTATATAATCAGCAGCGCTTTCTTCTTCTTCTTCTTCTTTTTTTTTTTTTTTTGAACCAGAGATTGAACTCAGACCCTTGTACTTGCCAGGTAAGTGCTTATTCTACTGAGCTATCTCCCTCACTCCTCTTCTTTCTTATTGCTGCATAAAGTAGTGGTAAATCTTATTAATGATTGAGCTTAGCGATGTAGCCCGGCTGGCCTTGAACTTGTGCCCATCCTCCTGCTTCAGCCTCCCTCTTGAGTGCTGGAATTACAGGCACACACCACCATGTCTGGCTGGATCTAAGATTTGAGGAAATGCAGCAGCCAACCCATTACATCCAGACGTGGATGATAGAGGACCAGTGACAAAACCACTCAGAGAAGTGAAAACACCCACTTGTTGGAAGCTGTGCCTGTTGCTTAGAGACACTTGCTAATTAGTCAATGCCACATGGCTGCTGGGACTGGGGTGTAGTTTTCTCAGGGAAGTCATTTATGTTCCCTCTAGGACCCCTCAAATATAGGAACAGTCCCTGCAGAGAACAGTGGCCAGATGACCCTGGGGGGAGCCGTGGTAGCCATGGAATCATGACACAGAGATAATGATGAGTTGGCAAGGGGAATGGACAAGTGGATTTGAGCTGTGAGTGGGTTTGGCCTCTCTCATCTCTTTTGAACCTGGAACAAAGGTGAGGTCAGCTGAGGAACGGAAAATGTAAGAAGTTCTTGCGTTATCGCTGCTGCGATGGCTTTTGTTTCTATACTTTTGTCCTGGAGTTATTAGGACACTTTTGAATTAGATATGCATTGAATTTTGCCTGTGTTATAACCGTGATTTGATTTTATCTACAAATAGCACCCTCCCCATCTCTCCAAATATCCTGGTTAATTAGTCCTTTCTGCACTGTTCTTCAAGCAGATGAGGATTCTGGGAAACCAGTTTAGTCTCTCTCTCTCAGTCTCTCTCTCTCTCTCTCTCTCTCTCTCTCTCTCTCTCTCTCTCACACACACACACTCACCCTCCCATAAGCTTTGTCAGTGGTTCATAACTAACTATGTAATAAGTTCACTTTTAATACTTGGTGGCAGTATTAAATTTTGATCTTGGGCTGGAGAGATGGCTCAGTGGTCTAAAGCACCTACTTAGAACAAGCTT